TTTTATTGGGGTTTCATTATGTCGGCATGGGTACTTGAATCATTGGCCAACTGGTTGAACTAAACCTCCAGTCCCCCTGTCTCCCTTGAGGTCAGGAGATCAGTAAAATGTAACCTGGCTCAAATATCACCCTCTTAATCACATGGTGATTCTTCAGCATGATCAGCCCCCATCTCCTTAGCATAAACTGAGGTGTGATCCAAGGGCCCGCCATAATTAATTAGACACTTCCATCACTCAGGAAGCTCCAAGGCTTCAGAAGTTTCTCCTCAGAGCCTGGGACAAAGGCCAGACAAAATCTTTCATACACAACAGCACTAAGTTACATGTAACAACTGAAATTGAGTACTTGTATTTACCAGCCTGGATTCTTGTGACATAGGGTTTATAACGTGTGAGTGCTTGAAAAATACCAACGTTTACATTTATTAAGAGTTTCATCAAGGCTTTCGAGTAAATCAAATGTAATATTCTAATCACTTACACATATATTGTTTCGTTTGAATATATGTCATGAAGTACTACTCCAAAACAGATGCAAATACTCAGTTTTTCATAATGCAAAATAATTTTTAAAATAACCTCAATTTTTGTATCTTGGAGGTGTAGTGAATAGTGTAATTTTTAGAAGACGTCTTTAACTGTAATTGCTGTTTTTAAAGTTCATTGCTGGATAAATCCATTCATCTGAATAATACAATTAATGTCACTATCCTACTAAAAACTAAAAGCAAATCCTATAGGCAGATAAAATGTACTCCAACTTATTTGTCTTTCATTTGGCTACAGATAGGAAAAAGCCCTCCAGCAATGCCTCCATTTTCCTTCTAGTCCTTTCCAGTTTGAAACCCATTTCCAACACTGCTTGTAAAATCATGCCTGCTAGAACCATACTCAGAGTTGCAGACATTAGGGAGTTATTGGTGGCACCTTGAAAAACCCAGGATAAAGTCTTCTCTAGGGATGCTCAGTAATGTATGTCAAATGGCTGAATGGCAAACAGCTCTTTTATTTGAAGGCAGACACTTATTCTTGGTCTCTTCACCAGCTGGTTTATTTTACCTAGTGAAATTTTAGTATTAATATATGTTTGCTGAGGATTTGCTATGTGCCAGGCACTATTTTAAAAGTGCTATTTGAGGGGCATCTGGGTGATTCAGTCAGTTAATCATCTGCCTTCGGCTTGGGTCATGATTCTAGGATCCTGGGATCGAGCCCTGCATTGGGCTCCCCACTCAGCAAGGAGCCTGCTTCCCCCTCTCCCTCTGCCTGCTTGCACACACTCTCATTCTCTCTTGCTCTCTCTCTCTCTCTCTCAAATAAATTAATGAAATATTTTTAAAAATAAAGTGCTATTGAATGTACCATGTCAATCTTCACATCAGTTAAGTGAGGTGGGTGCTGCTTTCGTCCTGCCCATGACACAACAGATAACCCAACTTCAGAGCAGTCCCTCAATGTCACATAGCCATTAGGGATACCTGGGATCTGTCTGTCTGTGTGAACCACTGTTTAGACTACCTGAAGTGTGCTGGCATACATGATTTACCAGCCGCCAAGTCTGCCCTCCTCCAAGTAGCCTACCTTTTGTACAAAGGATATCATCTAGCAGTTACATGCTACACCCAACTGGCCAGTTGTGGTAGATGGACTAGGACTTGGCAGGAACTAGCTATTTTTCCTGCCCTTGCTAAGAAGCAGAGGAGTTGTACAAACAGTGAACTTCTGCTTTCTTTTCTCTCCTCTTGCTTTTGAAGGCACTGGAAACAGAGCCCAAGGTTTTAGTTTCCATATGCAGATCTCCAAGACTTCCATGGAATTGCAAGATTATCACAGATCCAAAGGCTCCCGGGCCCAGAGGCCAGGACACAGTCCAGCAAATTCTCAACTGCAAAACTGACCATTATTCTCAGTTTTGCAATTGAAGTTTCAAATGTCCATGGTGAGGCTCTAGAGCTTGTGGTTTTATTGAGCTTTGCTCCCAGTTTAGAAAGGTGGAATTGAAGAGCAAGATGCAGCACAGCTGCAGTGTTGGATGCAGCAAGGATATCCATGTAAAGGATGCCCTATGCGCTGTGGAGTCTGCCTTCCAAAGCAGCAAACCATGGCTTCACCAACCTCGTCCTATCCAGCCCATGTTTCCTTTCCCTCTGTATTAGGTTCCAGTTGGCTTAGATTCCTTTGTATGTGGCCAAACCCTGAAAATGCAGAAGACCTTTGGGATTAAGAGCTCTTGGAACTAAAAAAAATAAATAAATAAATCAAAATAAATTAAAAATATTTTTTTTTTTTAAAAAGAGCTCTTGGAACCATATCATCCTAACTTGTTACGGAGACGCAGTTCAGTTTTCTAATCTGAATTCCATCTGTCATAAAGCCAGAACTGTCTCTTTTCAACCTACAGCACTTTCTGTCCTTGCTGAGTGATTGGGAAATCTGAAAACAATCTACTGGATGTTAAGAGAGGATTAAGTTACAACATTCATGCTTGTACCAACTGGAAATTATCCTACCTTATGTAATATTTTGGATAAAACTATACAGTACAATTTTATAACAGAGGGAAGAGAGTTTAGGGTGAAAAAGGAAAGGAAACTACATCTCAAAGGAGAGGGGAGGTGAATAAATCCTGTGAACACCTGCAGCTTGTGAGGCAATCAGATTTTACTTTGATGTTAGTTGATTTTTAAAATACTTATATATTTTTTTAATTTAGAGATTGGTATATTTTTCAAATTGTTACTCAATCTCTCAAATCAGATTTGAATTCTACACTCTGCCTGGCATAGTTGAGAACTGTTGTTTTTCTTTACACAAAATAAACCTCCAACATGCCTGAACACAAGGATCACTTGGGGCTGTGTTAAAAAATACAGATTTTTAGGCCTGGACCCCAGAGGTACTACTTCATATTTAGGGTACAGCATTCTGCATTTTGGGATGCCTGGATGGCTCAGTGGTTGAGCTCTGCTTTCGGCTCAGGGCCTGATCCTGGAGTTTGGGGATTGAGTCCCACATGGGGCTCCCTGGGAGTAGCCTGCTTCTCCCTCTGCCTGTGTCTCTGCCTGTCTCTCTGTGTGTCTCTTATGAATAAATAAATAAAATCATTTTTAAAAAAGGAATTCTGTATTTCTTTCTTCAAGCTTTGCCTTGAACATAAAAATATTCAAATCTCTATCTTTACCTAAATTCAGCAATTGTTAAAATCTGCATTACATTATACTCTGCCATTTGCCACTATAGATGGTTGAATAGATGATGGATGCATGGATGGATAATTCACTTCCTTTCACTAAGGCACCGAATAATATGTTCTAACTAGTTTCCCTCATGGTTTCTTCATTGTTTTCAATCCTAGGATTAATGTAGAAAGGGACAACAGATATTTAGTTAGAAGGTTATGCTCAATGTATAACTGTCAAGAAGTTCTTTTTTATTGTGAAATCACGTCAGGCACATAAATATGCAGATTTAAATATAGGTACCTTTTAAAGACTAGTAAGAACCCATGGCCCCTGTTCTAAGCACCTTGTTAGAACCAGAACATTAGGAGGAACTTCAAGCCCCTGTGGGCCATGATGAAACACTTGCCCCACACCGCATCTCCACATGTAACCATTTTCCTGAATTTCGTGTTATTCCCTAACTTTATAAAGTTTCCTCATGTATGTATCTGAAAAAGATCTTCTGTTTCATTTTCCTGCTTTTGGAATTCTTAAATGATATCATATATGTGTTCTCTAGGGATTTGCTTTTATGTTTTTGTTTAGTGTTGTAATTTTGAGATTCATCTCTCTTGATGTGTATGACTCTAAAACTATGGTTTTCACGAAAGTATACACTCACATCATATGAATGTACCAGAATTTATTTGTCCAATGTACCACTGATGGACATTAGGACTGTTTTTAGTTTCTTTTAATATGACCAGTGTGTCAACATTTTTGTATATATCTTCTGTATACATGTACAAGAGTCACTTGAGGGTATATTCCTAGGAGTGTCCAGGATTTAAGATTCTAAAAAGATTCAGTTCTAAACACCAGAGATTAGCATCATTAAAGGAATAGGATCAATTCCTGGTACCAGTTTGGTTGGCCTGTAATTCGGTCTGACATTTTGATGTGCCCCAAAATACGTTTTTAGCTTTTAAGACGCATAGGACTTTGAGCAACTAGCTCCAGTTCCAGAAGTGAGTAAATATGGTAGGAGACTGTTGGGATTCCGATCCATGCTTGGCAAGACAGTCATTTGAGCTGGAAATCTGTATCCTGGCTTATGTGATGGTGGTGTTCACTGAGTCAACTCAGTATCCATATTGACTATGGTTTTATATGGTGATCTTTGACATCTATACTCAATATTAGTGACTTTCTACTCAGCTCAAACTACACAAATAACCCCCACTTTCATAATCTGATAAACAGGATAAAAAGAAAATCCAAAAGCAGCTTTAAATTTAGAAGTACTTGATTTTAGAAGGGTGGGCCATTAATATATGAGAGAGGTAATTTAATGAAAGATAAGATATGGAAAGTATTCAACCCTTTGTCTGACATTAGATAAGCATTCAGTAAATCATAGCTTTTGTTGATGTGGTACATTGTGATCATCCAGAACTCAGAAATCCTAAAATTCCTTTCTCTGATAATCACTTATTTCAATCTTGAATGAATTCATGAACCAAGGGTTCATGAAGAAGGATTGGGTTCTCCCCAACCCTTGTTTCAAATCTCATCTCAACCTCTAGTTTACTTCTCTTGTGCTGTTCTCATAATGTTTACATATACATACTGTTCATTTAAATAAAATAAACTTCTTTTGGCTTCTTTTAAGCAAAACATGCCTATTTTGAACTTTTGATCCCTACCTCCCCGGTCGCCACCATTTCCCCACCATCTTCCCCTCTACTTCAGTTAATGGCATTGTCATCAACACCTGTACCCTGGCCTGAAAAGTGACACTCATCCTTGACTCGTCTCTTTTCCTTTGTCCATCAGCAGCTCCTGTAGGTTCTGTTCCTGACCACACGTCACCCTCCACAGGGTTACCTCCCCAGTCTAAGCCAGCATCAGTCCCACCTGGATTACTGCTGCTATGCCATCCTCACTGCCTGCTTCCACTCTTGCCCCCTCGGGAGAAAGTATAAACCAGCTCTCATCACTCCACTGATTAAAGTCCTCCAAAGACTGCCCAACTGCAATTACGACAAATCCCAAACATTTTGCCTCAGTCTTCAGGTATGATCAGACTTCTCTCTATCTCTTCCGTCCGTTCTCTTCAGTCCTTGTGTCCCAGACACACCTGACCTCTTTCTCACCCTTGAGCACCCCAAGCCCAGCGCCATCTCAAGGCCTTTGCAGAAATTTCCTGTTTTCCTAGAACCCCCTTCCTACCTTTGTACTGTAATACCTCCTTGCTAGTTCAAACAGCTCAAAGGTTCCCTCCTGAGAGAGGCTTTCCCAGAACCTCTTCCAATTCCCATCCATGTTTTTCCTAAACTTTTGACTTCATTTTCTTTATAACTATACTATCTAGATTTAGTCTTAAATATTTGTTAATGTGTTTTTAATCTCATGGCACTAAAATATGCTTTCCAGAATGATAGGTACCTGTTTTTCTGGTTTACTACTGTATTTTCAATATCTATATCAGTGTCTGATACATATAGGTGCTCAGCAAGTGTTTGTTGAATTAATGAAGGAATGAATAAAAGATAACTAGCAGGGGCACCTGGGTGACTCAGTGGTTGAGTGTCTGCCTTAGGGTCAGGTTATGATCCCTGGGTCCTGGGATCAAGTCCCATGTCAGACTCCCCACAGGGAGCCTACTTCTCCCTCTGCCTGTGTCTCTGCTTTTCTCTGTGTCTCTTGTGAATAAATAAAATCATAAATAAATAAATAAATAAATAAATAAATGTTTCATTTTTCAGGACTAAGTGGAGTTCTTCAAAATGTCAGGTAAGATTTTATGAATAAATTTTAATATACTTTATTCTCAAATGTGGATTATGTGATATTTTCCTTAAAAATTGGAATTTATTTCCTTGAAGTTTTCTATTATTGTTTAGCATTTGGAGAATACATCTTTTATATACATATGAGCATTTCTATCTATCTTTGACAGAAAAGGATTTAAATGGATTTATATTGGCACATATGTACTGAAAGATCTCTAAAGTATGTGGGGAACATTAAGTAAAGGACAAAGTAAGAAATTAAGTCTGCAAAGAGAAGCAGTAATAACAAGCCTGTGATGACAGCCTGCCCATATAGAGAAAGGCTCAGAATCAGGTCCTGCATTTTCAAGCAAATGCAGGAGACCATGGAAGGAGACAGATACCACATTTATGGGATTTGTGTATTTCATGAGATAAAAACCAGTCAGTTAAGAGAATAAGAATTTTTCCTTGTAGAGAATACAGGCAGACATTTCTCTGATTGCAACAAGGGCACAAGATAGCATCATGGAAAGTGAGTTCACTCCCTCTCTTGCAGCAGTGACCAAGGTCACTTTCACTGGAGAGGTATATTAAACCACCTCTAACTGAGTTGTGTGTGGCACTGCTGTGTTTTAAGGCATTACGTATTTATCATGTGATGTTTTGAATTTATTAAAACACAGTTATTTTCCAAAAAGGATTGGGGAAAAAATAAGATTCACTCTATATATTACTGTATTCTCCATATTATGTAGTGAGGAAAAGAATTTTTGCTAATGTGTCGGGAGTTCATGTAGGTAGGCATCAGCATGAAGTGAGCTGAACTACTAGCATGAAAGTGTGTTGCTTTGGTCAGAGCACAATATGAATAATTGCTTTATTTTTTTAAAAAAAATCTATATTCAGCCTGAAAATTCATCAGTTTGGGTTAATACAGGTTATTACAGGTTAATATGTAATTTACATAATGAATTATATGTCTTTTAAAAATATGAGTATATTTCATATTATTTACTTTCACTGATAAGAAAAATGAACATATTCTCTTATCACATTTTCACTTCCATTGTAAATCATGTCCCCTCTACCTCTCCGAAGGTGTGGTCCCCACAGCCCCTGAGCAACCTACAGATGAAGTAGAGAATCAAGTAAAGTCTCCTGATCCAAGGCCTGATGCACCTCCTGACTACAATTCCCATTTGGTACCAGGTGGGTTAAATAACCAGAAAGATTCTTTTCACCTCTCCAAAAAACCATACTAATAGTTAAGATTGCTTTTAAAAGTAATTAAGTAATTAGGGCAGCCCCCGTGGCTTAGCGGTTTAGCACCGCCTTCAGCCCGGGGTGTGATCCTGGAAACCTGGGATCGAGTCCCACATCAGGCTCCCTTGCATGGAGCCTGCTTCTCACTCTGTGTCTCTGCCTCTCTCTCTCTCTCTGTCTGTCATGAATAAATAAATCTTTAAAAATAAATAAATAAATAAATAAATAAATAAATAAATGTAATTAAGTAATTGAATGATTCAATAAATAAGTATTCTTATATATTTATGTAAGTATATCATGCCTCCAAAGTGCCAAGTAGTTTACGGGATGTCCATTAGAATACATTTGTAGGCACCTGAGGAAGGAATTTGTATAAAACACTGATGGCAATCTCTCTACTCTGTTATGAAAATATGAAGAAGATGTTCTAAGGCCAAGATGACAGTAACTGATTTTAGCAGGGATTAACAGAAGACGTAACTGAGGAAGTCAGATTTTTCTGGCTTGATAAGGAGTTTCTCATTCAAAGAAAAGGAAGAAAGGACTTCTTTCTGGCAGAAAGAACTATATGTACAAAAGCACAAGGTCTTGAAAGTTTGGTATGAGACATGCAATGGACAAATGCAAGAGAGATGAGGGTGAATGGCCTTGAGTGCTGACTAAGGAATTATATAAATAATTTTATAAGTCTGAATGCACTTCTGGTGGTGACTCAGTGAAATAGATACTCATCATGTTAGTGGGTATTTGAGTTATTGTAGTCTTTTTAGAAAGTAATTGGCAATGTGTGATATTTTTAAAATTAGAAATGTACTTACTTTTGAAGTAAGTAAGGAAATAATCAGGATTGTATACAAATACATTTTAATGATTTAGAAAATGATAAAGTATAGCAGTGTTTCTCTAAATGTATATTTAAGTGTACATTTAGAAGTATAAACCATTGAGTTAGTCTGTGAAAGAAGAGAAGAAACCGGACCCACAGGATAATGGTTTTGGCCCTACCCATAATATCTGTAGGTATTTACCCAAAGGATGCCAATATAGTGATCCGAAGGGGCACCTGCACCCCAATGTTTATAGCAGCAGTGTCCACAATAGCCAAATATGGATAGAGATGTCCATTAACAGATGAATGGGTAAAGAAGATATGGAATATATATAGTGGAATATTACTCAGCTATCTTATGCTAAATGAAATAAGTCTATCAGAGAAAGATAATTATATGATTCCACTCATGTGGAATTTAAAACAAAACAGAGGGTCATAGGGGAAGAGAAGGAAAAATAAAATAAGGTAAAATCATAGAGAGAGACAAACCATAAAAGACCCTTAACTATCGGAAACTGAGGGTTGCTGGAAAGGAGGTGGGGGGGGGGTTGGGTTAACTGGGTGATGGGCATTTAATTAATGGGGGCACTTGATGAAATGAGCACTGAATATTGTAAGTATTAATCAGTATGCAACTGATTAATCATTAAATTCTACCTCTGAAACTAATAATACACTATATATTAATTGAATTTAAATAAAATAATCATTGGTAACTATGTACTTTAAAAAAAGAGAGACCATGGGGCTCAGTTAACTTCTGCTTTCTCAGTGTTTTCTGAAAACAGCAGGGCTTCCTTTTCACCTTTCCCTCATACGTATGCATATCTGGTCCGATATAACCCCTCCTTACTGGCTCAACTCCTGCTAAATCCAAGGTCTTGACAGTCCTAAATTATAATCACACTATATCTGACCATTTCTCCAAATTTACTTCACTGACTGTCAACATGATCTAACTTATATTCATAGATCACTATATCCAAGAACCTAGATTCGTTTAGAACAAAGGCTCTCTCATTTCTAAGTAACATTGGTTATAAGTCATGTACTGTTCGTTTGGGAAAGTGTGTATTCCTCTCTGTATAAAAAAATTAGCCAGAGCATCAGATATATCATGCAAATCAAATGACTAGATAAGTTGGAAAACATTATGGTGCAGAGCATAGAACTGAATTTTCAGTTATGAAATTAATTAACAAAAATTCACTGTGACCGCCACCTAGTGGCTGAACTCTGTACTTATTTATGATGACTGATGCAAAATAAGGCCCTGCAATTCGCAGGAAGGAACTTGAAATACTATAAAAGTATTCGGCTTTAATTAATTTCTTTAAATTCAATTATTTAATTTCTATTTGCATTATAGTACTGGACATGTATTCCCACTGAAAATAACTTTGTCCCGAATATGTTTAAAAGAATAGTTAATACATTTTTATATGTAGTCTATTTAAAGAAAGGAAATGATATAATTTATTGAAATGAAAAAGGATGATAATATGCAAAATAACTGAGAAGATACAAATTCCATAAAGCGGTATTTTTCACACGAGTATTGATAGGACAATGCTCCACAACACAGTTCTTTATTTAAATAAATATAGTATATTACAGTTATACAAAATTAACCGTTTTGCTTTGCTTCCCTACAGAACCAGTCAGAATCTTTAATGGCAATTGCAGAGTTCAAAGGGGAATATAATATGATGTTTACCATACATACTTGGATCATGTTTTTCCTCCTGTTCTCTTAACATCTGTGAATAATACATATAACAAATCTTTTGATTACATAAGTATGTACTTAATTTTTCTTAGAAACATAATCTATACAGAATAGCCCCATAATCTAAATTATAATTTTCTAATTTGTTGATCCTCAAATTTTATTACATGAGGTTACTTTTATGTTAAAATAACATGGTGGTGGGGATCCCTGGGTGACTTAGTGGTTTAACACCTGCCTTCAGTCCGGGGCGTGATCCTGGAGTCCCAGGATCGAGTCCCACGTTGGGCTCCCTACATGAAACCTGCTTCTCCCTCTGCCTGTGTGTCTGCCTCTCTGTCTCTCTCTGTGTCTCTCATGAATAAATAAAATAAAATAAAATCATAATAAGTAAATAAAATAAAATCACATGGTGAAAATATTATAAGAATTAAGCAACTCACTGAAGTGATAAAACAGTATTAAGATAGTTTATGCGACTTTTAGTTGCGTTGTTTTTAATGGTTTTGAAAAAGAGGGTAGGGATATCTGATTTCCAGGAAGTCTAATTTGATTACTCTTAAACACAGTTCTTAAAGGATATATTCTTCATGACAAAATGAAACTTGTAATTTCTTCCATTTGTTCTAAAGACACTAGAGTTTTGTTTTGTTTTGTCATGTAGCTTTAATTTGACATTGTTTCTAGTTACTATTACTTTTCCTCTAGTCTCTCCTGATTCTCAGTCTCTATCAAGACCGGTATGTCCCCTGTCCTTCAAAGCTGGTATTCCCCAGAGTTGGTCCACTCCCCTGCCCTGCCTTGTCTCCCTGTTCCACCTTTCCCATTCACCCAACCTTTTACACACTCTCCTGAGTGATCTTGGTAATTTGTGTGTCTTTAGCCACTTAAGAATCCCTTAGCCTCACCCATATCAATCTCCTGTGCTCTGAACTTGCATTTCCCACTGCCTATAAGCCGCTTCCCCTGGAAGGACCCTGGATCTCATACTCACTGGTCTGCAAATCAACTTTGGCATCTTGCTCCAGAACACATACCCTCCAATCTTTCCCTCCTCTGGAGGCTGCAGGGACCCACATCAGAACTTGAGAATCTTTCCTCATATCCAGCCTGTTACTGAGACAGGATTGTCTCTTCTGTGTTGCTTATTATTCCTCCACCTTCTACTCCTTACATTACAAACTAACTTGCTGTCCATCTGCGCTCCTGCAAGCACCTCCTGCCTAATTGAACCTCTTCCATTGGTTCTAAATGTCAGTCCAATTACCTCACTTTCTATTTTATTGGCGTATACTTTAGGTTCTTTGTGCAGAGTATAGGTCTTTCATAATCTTCACTCCCTCTCCACCTTCCTTTCAAGCCTATCTGCTTAATCTCCAGATTAAGATGGAGTCTTGCCCCCTGTAATACTTAGCTTCCCTTGTGCACCTGTTCATTTTGTACCGACTCTCCTTGTAAAACCTTTGCCCGTTGTGGAGGTGTTGCCTGGGTCTAACATGTCAGCACTAACATCATAGGGTACCTCCTCTGCCTAGGTTAGACCTCTCCTCTCTAATCTCTTCACACACTATGAATCTACCTCTGATCCCACAAGTTAACTTGTTTCATGATAACCATTCACTTAATTTTTTAATCTGTGTATTTTCGGCAGAACTGAATGTCCTCCAAAACAGACGTGTCGGTGGCGGGTGGGGGGAGGCAAGATGGTGGAGGAGTAGGGTCCCCAAGCCACCTGGTCCCACCAACTTACCTAGATAACTTTCAAACCATCCTGAAAACCTACGAATTCAACCTGAGATTTAAAGAGAGAACAGCTGGAATGGTACAGAGAGAAGAGTTTGTGCTTCAAACAAGTACAACTCGTTTTTAGCCAGTCTGCGCTGAGCAAAATGACTAGAAAGAAGAACTCACCACAAAAGAAAGAATCAGAAACAGTCCTCTCTGCCAGAGAGTTACAGAATTTGGAATACAATTCACTGTCAGAAAGCCAATTCAGAAGCACTATTCTACAGCTACTGGTGGCTCTAGAAAAAAGCATAAAGGACTCAAGAGACTTCATGACTGCAGAATTTAGATCTAATCAGGCCAAGATTAAAAATCAATTAAATGAGATGCAATCCAAACTGGAGGTCCTAACGATGAGGGTTAATGAGGTGGAAGAAAGAGTGAGTTACATGGAAGACAAGTTGATGGCAAGGAAGGAAGCTGAGGAAAAAAGAGAAAAACAATTAAAATACCATGAGGATAGGTTAAGGGAAATAAATGACAGCATCAGAAGGAAAAATCTACGTTTACTTGGGGTTCCAGAGGGCACCTAAAGGGACAGAGGACCAGAAAGCATATTTGAACAAATCATAGCAGAGAACTTCCCTAACTTGGGGAGGGAAACAGGCATTCAGATCCAGGAGATAGAGAGATCCTCCCCTAAAATCAGCAAAATAGACGTGTCTTTCTACATCATTCTGTTTCTCACAGCAAGCACAGCTGCTCATCCTTGAAATGGGCCTGTGGAACGTTTCCCAAATAAAGGAATGTTTGATTTATTTCATGGCTTTTTTGTCAGACAGTATTAGAAGAAATAGTTCCACAATTCATGATGCTCATGAGTGGGATTCTTACAAGTAACCAGAGTATCCCAGACTTCAGGAGCTTCAAAAGCGACTCTTCCCTTTAATGACCAAATCACCGGGATCTGATCCTCTGTCCAATTTGCCTTATTCATAATCTTATAGGAAGTACTGTCTTATAGGAAGTACTGTCTTTATTTCTCATCCCAAACCACTTCTGGAAGACTCAGGGAATGTCCCTTCTTAGTGGTGGACGGTTTCCTCAACATTGGCTGACTCTAGACCATTGCTTTGCCTCTATGCTGGTCACCCCTTACTCATTCTGAAACCAGCTTTCAGCCCGCTAAGCTTTTTTTCCTATACTGTGACATCCTGTAGGTGTGCGTGTGTGCTCATGCGTGTGTGCACATGAAAAATTTAAGACTTAAAAATACACCTATCAGCTAGAGTTACTTTTCTGGTCTGTAGTTCCTAGGCCACCCGTAGAGTCCTATTTTGGATGTTCCTAACCCTTTTCCTAGACTCCGATCTAAAGGGAATATTAGCATAATTTAATTAAGGGTCCCTCTGCCATCAGAATGTTTGAGTTTTAATTCTGCCTCTGTCACATATTGACACTATTGATTCTTTAGCAAATTACTTAGCCACTTTATGCCTCAGTTTCTTCCTCTGTAAAGGATACTAATAGTCTCTACTACAGGTTGATGCTAAGATTACAAGATTTAATACATGTAAAGTAGTTAGAACAGTGCCTGAAGCATAATAAGAGCTCAGTAAATATTAACTATTATCTTTTTTTTAATAGTAAACATAGCTTCTTCTACTAGGAGTTCCCTCCTGGAATGTATGGTGTCCAGGACCCAGTTCTTTGGGTTCGCTGAGAGAGAGCACAGTCTCCACCTTACCCCACTCTCTCAAATCTTTTTCATTTTGCAGGAGTGGTCTTTTCAAAGAATAGCTACCAGGGGTACCAAGGTGTCTCAGTTGGTTGGGTGTCTGACTCTTGATTTCGGCTCAGGTCATGAGCTCAAGGTTGTGGGATCGAGCCCCAGGCTGGGTTCCTCGCTCAGTAGGGAATCTGCTTGAGATTCTCTCTCTCCCTCTCCACTGCCTCTCCCCACTGTGCTCTCTTTCTCAAATAAATTAATAAATCTTAAAAAAAAAAAGCTACCAGTGGACCATTCACATTTTTCAGGAAATATCACTCCTTGCTCTACACAGCTATGGCATTGCTTTTTGATTACAAAAAAGATACCAGATTCCCCAGTCTATAGACCTTCAGTGCCCAGAGCCTGGGTTACTTTGGAAAATATGATGTCATTTGTGGAGTTTCAACATCACAGCCCAAAATTCAACTATCCCAGTCTTGTTCCATTTAGCACACTTACTTAGACATGAGGTGAATCTTAGCTTCTAACACTCCTTGCTATCTTCTGGACCAACATCCCAATAATTTTTGAGCAGATATATAAGAAAACATAGATATATGCACATACATCATAAACAGTAATTTTAAAAACAGAGCAATTTTCAGAGAGAAGCTCAATTTTGCCTATATTTAGGTAAAATTTGTTTTTTTTTTTCTGTTCAAGGAACAGATCCACAAAACTTTTCCCAACCATGATGAAAACAAACTCCCATATGATTATACTTCACAGTTTTGCAACATATCTCCATCTTTTCAATAGAATCCTTTCTTTCTTTACATTGGTTAAACAAAAGGGTCTTTAAATCACTGGTTTTTAAACATTCTTTTTAAAAAGTTTCTTTTTTTTTTTTTTTGAGAAATCTCTACACCCAGTGTGGGGCTCAAACTCATAACTCCAAGATCAAGAGCCACACGCTCTGCTGACCAAGACAGCCAGGAGCCCCCTCAAACATTCTTTTTTTTCTCATATTTATTTATTTTTATTTTATTTTATTTTATTTTATTTTTTAGAGACACACAGAGAGAAAGAGAGATTGAGAGAGAGAGAGAGAGAGGCAGAGACACAGGTAGAGGAAGAAGCAGGTTCCGTATAGGGAGCCTGACGTGGGACTCAATCCTGGGTCTCCAGGATCACACCCTGGGCTGAAAGCGGCGCTAAACCACTGAGCCACCAGGGCTGTCCCCCTCAAACATTCTTGATGACAATCTACTATGACCCACAGTAAACAATACATATATGTTTTTATTTATATATAACTATTTTTATATATTTGGTATATATATGCTACATATAAAATTTCACCAAGCAATTCTTAATACAGTGAGTATACAATGTATGGGCAATACACTTTGATTTTTTTTCTATTTTATTTTTTCTAGTGTACTAAATTTTATTTTAAAAAATTGTAGTTGTGAATCATTAAATTGATTTCACAGCCACTAATATACATACAGATTGTAAAACACTGTATTAGAACAATGTTTCTCAAACTTAATTATTGATAATTAATGAAACAGCTATACTTAGACAAAATATTCCTTAAGACAAAAATTGTTATTAGAGATAAAGAACTTTTTACAATATTAGGAGTGTCAATCCATCAAGAAGATATAACATTTATATATATATATCTAAAAAACAGTGCTTCAAAATATATGAACCCAAAAATGACAGCACAAAATACTAGTAATGTAGTAATAAAATCCAGCAATATATAATAAGGATTATATGCTATGACCAAATGCAGTTTATCTTGAGTATGCGAGGTCGGTTTATCACATGAAAATCAGTCAATGTATGTACCATGTAAATGGAACATAGGACAAAAATCATATTATATCAATAGAGAAAAAGCATTTGACAAAATAATGAGAAACCTCCTGCATGATGAAAACATTCCACAAACTAGGAATAGGAGGGAACTGCCTCAATCTAATTAAAGGCATCAATGAAAAACCCACAACTTAGTTAACATCATGCTTAATAGCAAAAGCTGAAAGCATCCTCTCCCCCCCTCCCCAAAGTCAAGAGCAAGACAGGATATCTCTTCATTCTACTTCTATTCAACATTGTACTAGAAGTTTTAGCCAGGGCAGTTTGGCAAAGAAAGATAATAAAAGTCATCCAGATTGGAAAGGAAAAAGCAAAACTATCTCTATATGCAGATACGTAAAAAAATCCTAAGGAATACACCCATATACACACACGGCGCTAATAAATGAGTTCAGCAGTAGGGAGTATAAAACAGTGAATCCACTTTAGAAAACAGTTTGGCATTTCCTCAAAAAGTTAAGGCTAATTCCACTCCTAGGTATATACTTGAGAATTGAAAACTTATGTTCACATCAAAACTCACAGGCTCACTTCACAGCAGTGTTCTTTATAGTAGCCAAAAAGTGGAAACGATGTGATAATGTCCATGCAATGTAGCATTGCCAGGCCACAGAAAGGAATGAAGTACTACTAGCCTGTGCTATAATGGGCAAACCTTGAAAACATTATTCTAAGTGAAAGAAACCAGACAGGATGTCTGTATGTTGCATGACTTCATTTATATGATATCATATAGGTTAGGCAAATCTGTAGTGGTAGTGGTTTCCAGGGCCTGGGGCAGAAGCTAGGGAAGGACTGCTGATGGGTATGTGCTTTCTTTCTGGCGTGATGAAACTGTTCTGGAATGATATAGCCATCTTTAAAACCACCCCCCCCCGAGGTTACTGTATTTGTGACCTTAGACAGTCATAACAATAAATATAATAGCATAGATGTGCACTGCTAATTATGTGCTAGGTCTTGTGGTCATCCCACTATAACCTAGTGGAAGTAGACATATTATTATTATCTCCAAAGGAGGCACCTAATACAGAGAGAGGCCAACATGTTACTTGATGTTTCTTTTTTTTTTTTTTTTTGAAGATTTTATTTATTTATTCATGATAGAGAGACAGGCAGAGACACAGGCAGAGGGAGAGGGAGAAGCAGGCTCCATGCAGGGAGCCCGACGCAGGACTCGATCCCGGGTCTCCAGGATCACGGCCCTGGCCAAAGGCAGGCGCCAAACCGCCAAGCTACCCAGGAATCCCCTTACTTGATGTTTCAAATCTTATTCCAACACTTCTGTGTGGAATAATTATCTTACAAGGTTTAAGAGGATTAAATGAGTTAGTATGTAAAGCCCCTTAGTACATTGTTGGTACATGGTACACATTAAGAAAATGAATCGTTGTATTCTTTTTTATACAAAGATTTTATTTATTTATTCATGAGAGACACAGAGAGAGAGAGGCAGAGAGAGAAGCAGGCTCGCCACGGGAGCCTGGCATGGGACTTGATTCCAGGACTCCAGGATCATTCCCTAAGCCAAAGGCAGACGCTCAACCGCTGAGCCATCCAGGCGTCCCAGTCATGTTTTATTAAGTGGATAATGCATGATGCATATCTTTTCCATGTAAAAAATTAGGTCGTTCTAACTTCTAACGTGTTATAGTGTTAGTAGTATCTAACATTTTCATTTGTTGTGGATACAGGACCCCCTGGACCAGCTATCCCTCCATCTGCAGGCCATGCAGGAAGCTTGCCTATGGGGCTCTACAGTCCACCTCAGCCCCATAACTTCCCCTTGTACCAGCCAGCTGGTGGTACCCATCCTATCCAGTACCAGCCTGGCAAATATCCTATGCCAAATCAGCCTGTTCCAGTAACATGGATGCCAGCGCCTGGTCATATGCCAAACTGCCCTCCTGGTCTGGAATATTTAACCCAGGTACTCCACACAAATCCAAATGATTTTCTTATGAAGTATGACTGGGGACCTGACCAGAAGAGCTACAAAGCTGGACAGAGTGGATGAAGGTGATGGGTCAGTGATGACCGAGGTACAGTTTGTGAGACTGTAGGAGTGGTGGTCCTCCTGATTTCAGAAATGTGAAGGGGAAATGAGCAGTACAGCCATGTATTTGGCGGGATCAGTACTGTTTTCTAAAGGATGTATGTTGAATTTTAAGGTACACAAGATGTCCTGTAGGAAGTGGTTTAAAAAACAGGAACAGAGGAAAAACTATCAAAGATGCTATTTGAGGTGTCATTTGCATAGAAGTAAAGAGTTTTAACACCAAGAAAAACATGCAACAGAACAAAAAGACCATGAGTGAATCAATGAGTGCCTTAGCCCTCCCCTTTTTCTCATTACCCATAATTTTCATTAGCCACCTTAGTGACCAGTTTTGGTATAAGACCTGTTGAGACCCCCTCACCTGACTGTGTTTTCATACAAGAAAAAGTTTTTAATAAAGGAAGGATTGTATCCTCTCCATACCATCCTGTAATCAATTATACCACCAAACATTTATGTCTAGTTATTTTTCACTTTCTTTAATACCACATTCATGTATTTTTTATTAGTTAATGTATTCAATGAATATCTGGTGAAATATGACATTTCAGGCAATATTCTGGGCTCAGGGATTGGGAATGATCTATATTATCTAAAATTATAGAAATATGATTTCTCTGTCCTCAAAGAGATTTCTTTTCTGCTAGAATATTCTCAAATATATCAGGTGATGAGCCCATCACACTGTCTTTAGAGTGATTCCTAAGTGAAGTTAAGGTAGAAATTTAAGTAGTGGTGTTCCCAAATCCCTTCTCAAGAGATCGCATCCTAGACTGTTTCCTCCCCTTTGCCCTAATCCCAGTCACAGGCTTCCAGCCCTGTGGACCCTCTCCTCCTTGAAGTATGCCCCTAGGGAGGGCAGTGGCATTAGTAGTGCAAATAAATGGAAATCAGTGTGTTAACATCCTCCACAGGCACCTGTGAAAATAATAGAGAACTGAATGCTCCTGTGTGAGGTCCCTGGCTGACCTGCTTCCTATAAGCCACTGAGAAAATAACTTTCTCTGTGGCTGGTCCATGTTAAAGCATCTTCTGAGCAACTCCAGTCTGTGAGTGACATGTCAGTGACACCAGGGAGGAGGGCCTGAGCTAGAAACAATCTGCGTCAACACAGCTTCTTCTAGGTGCCGTTACTGTAGCAAGAAGATGCTTTTCTGATGTAGCAGGCAACTGTTTTATCTTTTAAAGTAGAAGGGAAGAAAAGTGGTTTCCCTATCTGGACCAGGTTCTCTGCTGACCAGGTACAGATAGGCCAGTTTCACTTGATAATTTTTTTTTTTATTCTGTTCGGTTTCAGAAAGATACTTTGGTATCAGTTGATGCACATTTTCATAACTATCTTATCCGTTTCTTTTCTAACACTGATTTCATTTCCTTCCGTTATTTCTGTTTTTCCTAATTGCTTTGTTCTCTCCCAACAGTTGGACATCATACACGTCTTTCAGCATTTCGAGCCTCTGGAAAGTATGTATAATTTTGTCGTGTTCACGAATGTTTGAATCAGGTAGAAATCTGTATCACCCAGTATCTAGTTCCTTATTTATGTTGATGATTTTTAAGGTTCAAAGAGAAAAGACTATCTTCTTTTACACCCTTTCTTCAAGAAAGTAATAAAGGGAATTATTTTGTATGATTTTATCTATTTATGTATCATAAGTTCTTAGGTTTGAAAAAGATGTTCATTTTATCTGGTCAACTTCCCTCACCTTATTCTTTCCAGGAAAGATATTCAATTCATCTTTCCTGGAAGAGGAAAAGGAGGAGCCAAGAGGTTAAATGAATTAGCCAAGGACACCGCCGTCACCTAATCAGTGGTAGAGCAGGAAATAGAATCTAAACCTGCTGCGTTCTAGTCCAGTGCCCTTACCTTGGAAGTAAAAATAAATCGCAATAAACATGCTTGATCTCAGTTTATCCTCACTAGATTACTGACCTTCACTTTACTGTCATATCTACACATTCATTTGACCACCACATAGAGCCTCAGAGTTTCCTGGGTATATTTTCGTATTTGCAGTTAGTTAATGACCCTAATCATTTCAGTATATTTCATGAGCTGATTAATTGATGGTAAATGTATAATTTCACTTAAATGGTTTTACAATTAAAGTTTTCTGCATGCAGGTATTCCAGGAATATAGTTTCAGTCTTTACATTTATGTGGAAAAGTTTTTAAAATCATTTTATACTGACCTTCTCTTAAAAAGATGTTTTAAATTTTCAAAATTACTAAATATTTATTGGGCATTTGTATTTTTTTTTTGGTGTCCAAATCAATTGGATATATTTCACTTTAAACTTTAAAAAGCTATTTTGAAAAAAAATAAAAATAAAAATAAAAAGCTATTTTGCTTTAAGCCCTTAAGAAATACTTTTAAAAGACTTCTTGGTGCCCATTTTAACTGCTTCTAATTTAAAGTGGCTTTCTCATTTTATTTTTTAGTGATGACATCTTTTGAAACTAATAATAGATATGATATTAAAAACAACCTGGACCAGATGGTTTACGTTGTAACTGAAGACACAGACGATTATACCAGAAATGCTTATCGGACACTAAGGCCCTTCGTCCTCCGGGTCACTGACTATATGGGCCGAGAAATCATGACAATGCAGAGACCTTTCAGATGCAGCTGCTGTTGCTTCTGTTGTCCCTCCACCAGGCAAGAGGTCAGAGAACATAAGTCTAATCCAACTGATCCAACTCTTCACAGAATGGTTGTGCTCCTTCCAGAATAACACATGGGATTTTCACTGGCTCCGCTGGTCAGAATGAATGAAGAGAGTGGGGAAGAAGGCAGCCAGATTGTCTCACCTAAGGGAAACCACCTTGTGGGTTCTTGTCTTCTGGTGCTAGTTGGTGGGTCAGGCACAAATTAGGGTTATTTATTCGGTGACCACAGTGCTGTCAGTTGTGTCTACTGAATTAGAAATGTACCTATGACCTAGAATAGAAGTCACACACATTTGTCTAAATGTACCTACATATCCCCAGATAAGCTGTCCTTAGACATCATCATATCCTTTTAGATTGGAAGACTACACTAGTCATCCCAGACTTTGGAAAACTTTGCGTTACCCATCCCAGACATTAAATGAAGATTGGAAAAGTTTGGATAACTTTACACTACCCATCTATCTTGCCACAGATAAAGAAAAGGTAGCTCAGAAAGATGAAGTGCCTGATGAGGGTGTTACACTCCCCTGAATGCTAGAACTAGGGAGCAGGTGTTCTGAGTGACAGCTGGGTTCCTCTTCTATAACCTGTGGGACTCTAGAAAGGTTGTTTGAAGTGATTTGAGAGAGAGAGAGAGGTCAGCAAGAATTTGGAATTCTAGATATGCCATCTACTTAAATTTGTGCAATTTATTTATTAAGAACCTCACTGCTCTTTTACATAAATATTCATAATAATATTCCATAGGATTACTGGGATATTTCAAAGACTTAAGTACCAGCACTTACTAAATATTAATTTATTTATAATTTTCTCTGAGTTTTGATTTCCTATAAGATGAAAATAATAATAGTACCTATCACACAGGATTGCGTTGAGGATTAAATAGTAAATAAATATTAACTATTCGTTACAGTACCTGGCAGATAGGAAGTGCTCAGAGAATGTTAGTTGTTATTTGCAGGAATCTTACTTCTCTCTCATTACTGTTTTTGTAATAACAGTCTAATATTTGAGATGAATCTTCATCTTTAATCCTCAATTGTTTTGGCTATACTAGGAATTCTTCATATTCATGACTTGGATTTTCTTCTCAAATGAATTTTTTCAAGTAATTTACTTGTATACAGTTTTTATTTTTTTTTATCTCTAAGCCTAAACTTACATGAGATCTTAATCCTAGGAAGCTGTTGAATTTATATGCTTTATATGCATATATGTCAATATATGCATATGTGTCAATCTATGTATATGAACAATAATCTTTTTATTTTTTTATTTTTTTAAAGATTTTACGTATTTATTCATGAGAGAGAGAGGCAGAGACACAGGCAGAGGGAGAAGCAGGCTCCATGCAGGGAGCCCGATGTGGGACTCGATCCCGGGACTCCAGGACCATGCCCTGGGCTGAAGGCAGGCGCTAAACCACTGAACCACCCAGGGATCCCCTATCTTTTTAAAATAATGTCTTGATTTGACAGTTCATGAAGCTATACAGTCTCACACCATAAATAATGAAGCCCAGTGGACTCAAAATTCTTAGAAAAGTATACGATACCAGAAAACCACCAGTAGAACTTTAACTCAGGGCTTTTACTAAATAACTTAATTTATGACTGGTTATTATTAAATATGAAGATCTTAGTTCTTCACAAAGGAATACTATAAAGATAAATAGCTAAAACAGGGTAGTGGACAATCTTAAAACTTTTAAGAATGGCTTTATATATTCATATACAGATTCTGTTGTTTTCACAATACAGTTTTCAGAATGCCTCTTTTCTCTCTGTTTTCTATTACAATTGTCATGTCTGAGATTTAAATCTAAGAAGTTACCTTGTTACTTTTTCATGGATTGTGCCAGAAGACATGAGACACCTAGAGCAGAGACCAAGAACTCTATCACAGTACAGTAAACAGCATGAGCATCATGAGCAGCATGTTGGTGTAGGTCCCCTCGCCTTCATGTTCTGCAGGGTTGACTCAGAGGAGCCCAGGCAGAGGCTGCATACAACACTGAGCTTAGAGAACTGGCCATTTTATAAGAAGCAGTAACTTTGTTCCAAAGGGAAGTGTGATCTCATCTCTCAAGGCTGTTCACTAACATAACAACCCTAAGAAATAGCCTGGTTAAAATAGAAAACTCCCTACCAGTAATGATTTTTCTCGTCCTTGAATGACTTAAGAGCACATCCAGGTGGTACGTACATGTAATAGGTAAGTATGTAGCATCCGTTTCTCTGTTACTGCTTCTTTGCAGCTGGAGGTGCAGAGTCCTCCTGGTGTCACCATTGGCTTTGTTGCAGAACACTGGAACTTGTGCAGGGCAGTTTACAGCATCCAAAATGAGAAGAAAGAAAATGTGATGAGAGTGCGTGGGCCATGTTCAACCTATGGCTGTGGTTCAGATTCTGTTTTTGAGGTAAACAAATGTAAAAATAACATTTTGACTCTTTTTTTTCTACACACACTAACATCTTAGAATTCTTTGGTTTTAGATTATTTTTTTATGTGAATGGATAAAGTAGAATGAGGAAATAGTCATTGGTTGACATCAAATCATTTTCAAATTATGGTTAGTGGATTGCCGAATGTTTTTCAAAATGTGAGCTACTTTTTTTTTTATTATTTCAGTGTTCAATAAAGGTAAGAAGTACCCATTTAAAACACTAAACCTGAAAGTAAATAGCTCGACTGAATCCATTCATTTTATTCTCGGTTGTATTTAATTAACCATTTTTACCAAAGATTTGCAGGAATGGGATACAGATCCTGAGTAATGAAAGTGCCCAACATATCACAGAACATATGAAGCACCCCAAGATTGTGCAAATTATTTATTTGCATGGTAGAAATTTATCTGTGCCCTTAAGAGATAGGATAATATAGATAACATGGAAAAAAACTCATAATAGATGAAAACAGGGCAGCCTGGGTGGCTCAGCGGTTTAGTGCCGCATGTGGCCCAGGATGTGATCCTGGAGACCCCGGATCAAGTCCCACGTCAGGCTCCCTGTATGGAGCCTGCTTCTCCCTCTGCCTGTGTCTCTGCCTCTCTCGCCCTCTCTGTCTCTCCTGAATGAATAAATTAAGAAAAAAAAAAAGAGAAATAAAGGAACTTTCTAAAGGAATTTAAAAAAAAATAAATAATAGATGAAAACATTTTCTCAGGAAAATAAAAAATCCTCTTCTTTTGCCTTTATCTCAGTTACTATGAAACGATTGCTTTCTATCCTATGAATCTGACAAAGGAGATTCCTAGAAATTTTTCTTGAATTTCTTAGAGAATCCTTGAATGCCTGGCAGTTCAGCAAGGCTTATTATCTAAAGTTGGTCATTCAGATATTTCCTATGACACTGAATAAACTTTTTTAGTTCTTCAAGCATTGCTTATGTATTAAAAGGCCATTGTAGAGAAATGGAAAATGTAGACAAGCCAGTTTTAGGGGCAGGAGGTATACGATCATTCTGATCTCCAAAGGTTAGCATTTCACTATTTTTCCTCTGGCAAGTGCCTGAGTTCCCCCTTTAGAAGTTATGGCTCCTTGGGATGCTGGCATACTTTAAGAAGACAGGGTGGATTTCGCCCACAAAAACTTGAGTGATTATATGAAGTCTGTAAAGTACATACAGTTGTGCTTCCTTTTGCTCATGTGTTTCTCTAGACTGTAGAGATCCCCTCCCAGCCTCCAATTCCAATCCTTTATTATATGAGAAATAATTTCTGAATCAATTCATGTCATATGTCCCTAATAACTCATTTGAGGATGAAGAAACAGCCCTGGCTTGAGAACTGTTAGCCCAACTCAGTTATGAACCAGTGGCGAGGCACTTAACCCTTCATGGCCATAATTCCTTATTTGAAATTACATTATTACTATATTAATTTTATATATTATATTTATGCTATCTCAGTATAAAATAGAAGTAGAAGAATGAAATATATACAACAAAACTTTTCATACATCATAAAGTCACATTCTTATCTTTGTAGGTCAAATCCCTTGATGGCACAACAGACACCGGCAGTATTATTAGGAAATGGAATGGTCTGTTATCAGCAATGAGCGATGCTGACCACTTTGAAATTCAGTTCCCATTAGACTTGGATGTGAAGATGAAAGCCATGATTTTTGGAGCTTGCTTCCTCATTGTAAGCCTTTTGCTTTTGAGTTGTCTTGAGAGAATTATTTTCACCATGAGATGCAGTATAGTGCAATATAGGAAGGTAATAACCTTTGAACCCAGGCCAGTGTCTGTCTCTGCCACTTACTAGTTACATGTTTTGCAGTGTTTAGCACTTCCAGGCCTCATTCTCCTTAAAATGGAGATAATTATCCATTCTCTGTAAAATGGAGATAAAAATACTTATATTTTTTTAGGGTGATGAGCATTAACTATAATATGAATACATGGGCCAGAAGAGTGCTTGGAGTATATTAGGCATCCAGTGGGTGTAATTATCATCATTGCATGTTGTCTTTCTCATTACTTAAGGATGCCTATCATATGACTTCTTAATGAAATAAAATAGCTCTAAAGTTATTGGCTATCAGCAGTTCCAAGTTTGTAATTGCTGCTGTTCATATTAGGTCCTCTTCGTAAAGATTTCATTCGATTCATTTATTCTTAACTAGAATGAGGACCACCTGATAAATTATAAAGGATAATATTTTATGCATTGCATCTAATTAGTATGTATCTTTATACATACAGTCTCTCTCTATATATATATATATTTCTCTCCCTCTCTCTCTCTCTCTCTCTCTATATATATATATATATATATATGTCTCTCTTTCTCTCTATATATATATATATATAATATATATATGTATAATTCTTTTTCTAATTTCAGGACTTCATGTATTTTGAAAGATCTCCAACACGACGTTCATCAAGATAGATGGACACAGCACATCAGCAATCATGGTTAATTAAAAATGATTAGAAAAGTTGGGCTTAGAATCCTCTCAATTATTTGCAAATATATCTGCTTTTGCAGATTATTTTTACTGGTTATTAGCTCTCATTCTTATTAGGTAGGCTAAGAGTGTAAGGGCAAAAATACAATCTAAACATGTGTTTTGATTGATTATCTGTCTTGTCCACTTGGTAGACTAGGAGTTAATCTTGAAAAGGCTATGACTCATTAACCAAGTAAACACATTACAATGAGCTTCAAAACACTTTACCATGAAATAAGGGAAAATGAATCCTAGAGCTCTCACATTAATAGGTCATGAAATGGTGAGCTTTTTAGAGTTATCTTTGAGATAGAGTAAGATGGCTTTTATACCTACCACTCCTACCTCTTGTCCTGTTACTGAAGACAGATTTGATTCCAGGTGAAAAGAATGATACTTTTGATATTAAAAAACAAAAAGGAAGGCAGATAGAAATACTATGTTTTATTGTACAAGAAAAAATGTATTTGTGCATATGTATCAAAACTTTGTTTTGCAAGTTTATGAGTTTCAATGGAAATTTTTGTTACCAAACAAAACATTTTTTTATCATAAAATTTATAGGTTTATATTTTCCATGCATATTTTCTCATTCGCTAGCATGGTCAGTCAGGACCTGCCTGTGTATGGAGTCAGGATCAGACTATCAGGAAAAGAGGTGAGTAGGGCCACAGCCAGTCTAGATCTCTGAGCAACTTAGAGACATCAGTGCCCTTATAAGGAGCTTGCATTTAATCCATTTAACCTCTCTTAGTCCAAGAGGTTTAAAACATATTTTAAATATGTTTGGCCAAATCTTTAAGATTGCCTATTGAACTTTTGTATCTTTTTGATGTGACACAGAAAAGATAGTTGTATTTTTTCTTTCAAGAAGATCCCTGATAATCACCATGTTTTTCTAATGGCAAGAGTTAGAGTTTTGTCTCTGTCAAATAGGACATTCTGTGTAGCACTTTGTAAAAGCAAAAACTACAAACCTTAACATTGTTTAATATTTCTTAACTTAGAGATAGATAAATCTATATCTATGCAAGGAAAATAATAAAACACAGCAAACATGCTGCTACTTTGTGAACTATAGCTTAACAGTAAAATTATGTAGGATAACATAAATGTACTTGTTTTATAAGCTAGTTAAAAGTATAGTGCCATAGTGAATAGACTGATGAATCAGCCTGCCTCTTTTGCACTCTACCTTCCTATCTGGACCTGGACTGTGTTCTTTCAACACAGCCAGTATGTATGTAGAATGAAATATATTTTTCTCCTTGTTAAAGAAAACAAGCCTGAGTGTTCTCTGATGGGATTATTCAGAGATGAGGGCCTTTGCCCACAGTTCCTATTGAAGTCAAAGAAAGGTGCTTTGTCTTTAAATTATATTTATCTTTTCATGGTAAAGTTATTTTACAGAGTGTCTTGTAATTTTTATTTCTGGGTGCTACTACCGGCTTGTTAAAAAAAAATGTAAAACTGCTGCTTTTTTAAAAACTAATTATCTTATATTTGAAAATATAATTAGACATTTAGTCTTAGACATTTATATTATTTCTTAAAATGTCTGACGTTTTATATATGAAATCAAATAGTATTGAGAAAGTTTATTTCTATAAACCTCCTTTTTTGGGATCCCTGGGTGGCGCAGCGGTTTGGCGCCTGCCTTTGGCCCAGGGCGCGATCCTGGAGACCCGGGATCGAATCCCACGTCGGGCTCCCGGTGCATGGAGCCTGCTTCTCCCTCTGCCTGTGTCTCTGCGCCTCTCTCTCTCTCTATGTGACTATCATAAATAAAAAAAAAAAAATTTAAAAAAAAAAAAAAAAAAAAAAAAAAAAAAAAAAAAAAAAAAAAAAAATAAACCTCCTTTTTTACTTGCCTATGTCCCTACATCCCAAGACCTGCTGTATAATACTAAGAAAAGAGTTATTTTTAACATACGACATTTTAAATTTCTGTTTAAAATTTTTGTGGTATTAACTTGTCTCTTACAGTTATTATTTCACTTTTCTTAAAAGTAATACTATGTGTCTTATATTTTTATATTATGGTTCATATTATAATCTCATATTTCTTAATAGTGTTTCATTTTGGGCAGCCTGGGTGGCTCACCGGTTAAGCACCGCCTTCCGCCCAGGGTGTGATCCTGGGGACTCAGGATCGAGTCCCACATCGGGCTCCCTGCATGGAGCCTGTTTCTCCTTCTGCCTGTGTCTCTGTCTCTGTCTCTCTGTTTCTCATGAACAAAAAATAAAATCTTTTAAAAAAATAGTGTTTCATTGTGTAAAATTGACCAGATTCACTAAAAAAAAAGCTACTCTCTGAAATTTGTGTGTTTTCATGCTTCATCATATTGTTTTTGGCTTTTAAATAAATATAATATGGTTTATAGCAAAATACTATTTTATTTTTTTGGCTTTTGATTGAGTCTCTGCTATAGACTGCATGTTTGTGTCCTTCCCTTCCCCCCAAAAATTATGAATTATCCCAATGTAGTGGTATTTGGAGGTGGAGCCTTCATGAACAGGATTAGTGTCCTTATAATCCAGTACCTTAGTCTTGAATTTCCCAGCTTCCAGAACTGTGAAAGATAAATATCTGTTTCTTAAGCCACCTAGCCTATGGTATATTTGTACAGTTGTCTAAATGGATTAAGACAGAAATTGGTACTGCGAAGTAGGGGTGCTGCTATAACAAATACCTTAAAATGTGGACGCAGCATTAGAAGTGGGTAATAGATAGAACCTGGAAGTGTTTTGAGACACATTCTAGAAGTCTAGATATTTTAACAGAACTTTAAAGGTGATTCTGGTGAGAGCTCAGAAAGAAAAAAGAGCTGTAGAGAAAGCCTTGACTTTCTTCGAAAATAGCTATGTAATCCTGAACAGAATGTTAGTAGAAACATGAATGGTAAAGGCCATACTAATGAGGCCTCAGATGGAAATGAGGAGCATGTTATCAGAAACTTGAGGAGAGGCCCTCTTTGTAATAAAGTGGCAAAGAACTTGGCTGAATTGTGTTCATGTTCTGGTGTTTTGTAGAACATAGAACTTGCAAGTGATGAAATTAGATGTTTAGTTAGAGGTGCAGTTAGACTTCCTCTGACTTCTTATAGTAAAATGCAAGGAGTGAGAAATGACTTAAGCAAAAGGAAGCAGAACGTAAACACTTAGAAATTTTTCAGCCTATCCACACAGTGAAAGATGAGAACATTGAGTGTATGCCCAAGGAGATTAGTGTGAATGAGCCTTCTAAGCAGAAGCCAGGAAACTCTTCTCCAAGACAATGCAGCAATGACCTTGAAGGTGATTTAGTAGTTAACAGAGCCACTACTCCCATTACGGCCCCTATTGCAAGGGCTTGGGGGCTGATTGGTTCAAAGGAGAGGATTTCAATATCTGTTGGACCTCTTTATACACTAGGTGCTACCTCGCATGGGGGCTCTGCTCTCTACGCTCTCCTGCCATGCTCCTCTGCTACCCCAGATGTGGCTCTGGTGGGCCCTAGAGTCATAACTTGAGTCTCACCCATATCTGATTTAGATGCAACTTTGGACATTCAGACTTTTGAGTTGGTGCTGGAAGAGGTTAAGACTTTTTCTTAAGGCAGTTCGGATGAGTGAATGTATTTTTCATGTGAAAAGGACATAAATTTTGTCCAGACCAGGGGTAGAATGCCATGGACTGAATGTCTGTGTCCCCCCCAAATTTATATGTTGAAATTTAATGCCTTAATGTGATGTATTTGGAGGTGAGACTTTGGTGGATGATCAGAACAGGAGGATGGTGCCCTTATGAGTGGATTAGTACCTCTATAAAACCTCTATAAAAGAGAAGGCAAGGAGCTCCCTTGACCCATCTGCGTGAGGACACAGTGAGAAAATATCCACCTATGAATCAGGAAATGGGCGCTTACCAGACTGTATCCACTAGAGCCTTGATCTTAGACTTTTAGAACTATGAGAAATAAATGTGTTGTTAATGAGCCACCCGGTCTATGTATGGTATTTTTGTTATAGCAGCCAAAATGGACTAAGATAGGTTTGTTGGATTTTTTAGAATATTTTATTGATTAATGAGAGACAGAGAGGCAGAGACACAGGCAGAGGGAGAAGCAGGCTCCATGCAGGGAGCCGACGTGGGACTCGATCCAGGGTCTCCAGGATCACGCCCTGGGCTGAAGGTGGCGCTAAACCGCTGCGCCACCGGGGCTGCCCGGGTCCTTGTTTTCTTACATAAGCTTACTTCTCATAAAGTCATTGTAGTGCTTTGTAGTAGTAACTAGCTTTCCAACATAATCAAGTTATTTATAAATGCTTATTTCTAATCCACTTACGGCACGTTTAAATTTTAAGTGTGATTTCGATAGCAATAGCATTATATCATGTAGGAAAGCTGATAGAATTTATGACTGTCAGTGAAGGATGCATTTTAAGACAATTTTAATGACCAGATTTCCCAAAAATTATACAAAAAAGCTGGGTGCCAGACAAATTTAGTAGTTGAATTTCTCCACCAACTAGATGTTCAATTAAGTTCAAGTATAAAATAAGCAGTGATTCCAGGGAATGGCATCCTGCTCTGCTGGGACAGCTGGCTACTTTTCAGTATCCGTTGCCCACTACCCCAGTGTTTAAGGCTTAATTTAACATATGTTGAAAGATGCACACTTGGAAAATCCATAGGCCTGGATTCAATAAACTAGTCCCAAATTTAACTTGTTGGCTAGTGAATGGATCTTTCCCATAATTTGGTTGACCTTCACAGAATCTGTTTCCCATTTGCTTCTAGACATCTTAAATTGTAAATCCCAGAAAGGAGAAAAACAGCATGATACATTCCAAGTGTAGTCAGAGTGAGCTAGCATAATACTATACTTGGTGACACTTAGCATGGCTACTAATAGCACCTAGTAGGCTTTCACTCAGTATCTGCCTAATGAATCATAATGCAATCAGTGAATATATTTTTGGAATATTTATCATAGTACCCAGTAAAAAGTTTTACCGTTCAAAAAACATACCC